AGGTGTAGACCTTGCCATATTATTTATTCTCAACCACCTGTTTTTCCAGTTTTACCAGGTGAACTCTTAGCTATAAATTCTGTTAACTGTTTACACATATCTTACTTTCCTTATACTGTCTTGCATGAACTCTCTTCAGGGATTCACTACTTGACCCCATAATGTGGCATCTACATTGATTATTTACCTAAATGTTACATATTATAGTGACATGAATCATTGTAGGTTACTCTATTTAAGCAGTAGCCACCACTCTTCAATTTCCTGATGTCGTCTGAAGCCATGCACCGTTTGCCCCCACACTAATCGAGTAAACCATGCCGATCTGACGCCTTGCACAACTTGGCTGGGATAGTCAACCCGTGTTTCACCCGGTGACCAAATGACTAAGTGGGGCAAATTTATTTTTAGCCTTAGTTTCTCTGCGTAGCAGGTGCTCTATCAGGAAATTGTGGTTGGAAGAAGGAATGTTTGATAGGCACTCCTCAGTAATCCTCTATGCAAAGCCAAAGTGACTCATTAAAATAACAAGAGCTGTAATTTAAGCTTAAGGGCCTTTGTAACATGAGTGAGAAAGTCTTAAGAGTAAGTTGAGAGTAAGAGGCTGAAAAAAAGAGAAGAGAAAGTGGGAAGTGAGATTTTAAAGACTGCCAACCTTCTACTTTGTTCCCTCTTGACAAGAAAGAAAGAAATACTGTAGGCAGGGGACAGGGCACAGGTTGCAACTGGGGCATATCGGGTATGGGCTCTGGTTACAGTCAGTCATGACAGTGCATTTTAATGTTCTTGATGTTTCAAGCAGCCATCTCCCTTCACCTTCTTTTAAACGTCAGGATCTATTTGTAGTTATGGGGGCTATGCTACATCTGCCCTTACCTCATAAACGCTTACAACCACTACTGCTTCATGTTAAGAGAGCCATTCTGCAGCCACCGGATCGCATGCATGCAATCTGAGAGTGTGGGAAACTGTTTAGAGTAGTGCCCTCTTTACAGTGCTGAAGGCACTAATCCAGACATACAGTATGAATTAAAATGATGAAGGGGGGGGATATGTAAACCTCAGGAACCTTGATTTTCATCATTTCACATCTTACAACAAGAGGATCCTGCTCAAATCTGCCTCTGCAAAAGAGTTGGATATTTCAGCTTAAAATGTGCTTCAGTTTCAGGTTGAGAGAAAATGTGTTTTTCAGCCTGTTCAGTTTTTTTCTCAAAGCTGTTTTTCTTTCATTTTTTCAAGGTATTATCATGCTGCTTTGTGTTTATCATTTATTTTTTAATGATATAAAAAGAGTTGTATTTTGGATGATTTGACAGCTTTAACTGTTGGTCTGATACTGTGACTCCTCCTCTGGTCTAGTGCACAGAATCTGGTTGCAAAATGTCTTACAAAGATGGCTGCTGTAGTCTCAATATGTATTCTTTGGTTTTGCATAGTGGCAGGAACTGGTGATGGGTCATCCATTGTTTGTCCAAAGGTCCCTCTATACACTCTATACTGTAATAATAATCTTTATTTCTATAGCGCTCTACAACTCCAGGAGCACCAGAGTGCTGTACAACACACAACAAAAACAATAACAATAGAGATCACAGGTAGGGGCATAATAAAATACTAAGCCATAACTGAGACTTAAACAATAAAAACATGTTTAGGGCGCAAAAGCCTGCTTAAAGTAGTGGCCTGCTTAAAGTAGTGAGTTTTCCAAATAAACAGGTAGGGGCATGCTAAAGTGCTAAGCAATAGCTAAAACTTAAACAATCAAAACAGGTTAGGCCTCAAAAGCCTGCTTAAAATAATGAGCTTTTAAGGTCGACTTTAAGGCCACTAGCTCACTTTCAGCCCGTAGTTCTATAGGAAGAGCATTCCACAGTCTGGGGCCAAAAATAGTAAAGGATCGGTCACCCCAATTTTTATAGCGGGATTGCGGCACCGCCAGCAACAAATGATCAGTGAAGCGGAGAGCTCTACGCGGCACATAATTTGACAGCAGGTCAGATAGGTAAGCTGGGGCGAGACCATGAATAGCCTTAAAAACAAACAATAGGATCTTAAATTTGATTCTAAATTGAATTGGAAGCCAAAGAAGGGCACAAAGAACCGGGGAGATAGGGCAAACCTGGGAGCATTTGACTGCAGCCGAGCTGCGGCATTTTGGACCAACTATAATCTTTGAAGCAAAGTCTGGGGTACTCCCACATACAAGGCATTACAATAATCCAACCGTGAGATAATAAACGCCTGAATAGCCTTCTCCAGATCTCCATGTGACAGAAAAGTTTTAACCCTCGTTAACAATCTTAGATGGAAGAAGCAAGACTTAACCACTGCCCTAAACTGTTTCTCAAAAATTAAAACCACTATCTAAAATTATTCTGAGGTTTTTCACCGTATCAGAGGGAAAACTGAGTTGCAAAGGTTGACTACATCTGGCGATGGGTCAGGACTAATAAGAATGTATTCGGTCGTGCTCTCGTTCAAATGCAGAAAATTTAGAGCAAGCCATTGCCTAATATCCCGAATGCAATTATGCAACGGGGTAAGAGCATTGGAGTCAGATAGGAGTAGTGGCATATAAATCTGAACATCATCAGCGTAAAAGTGAAAATGAACACTGTGGCTAGATATAATTGCCGCAAGAGGTGCAATATATAATGAGAAGAGTAATGGAGCCAGGGTCGAACCTTGCGGAACGCCTGAAGTGGGAGGAACTATATTTGAGACGCAATTACCAATACTAACCAAAATAGTTTGATTGCTTAAAAAGGAAGAAAACCAGTTTAAAGCAGGGCCTTTAAGCCCGACGAAAAATTCAAGTCTCGACAAAATGACAGAATGATCAACAGTACTGAAAGCTGCAGATAGATCCAAAAGAACTAAAAGAACAGGACACTTGGTATCAAGCGCCATATCATTATGAATCTTCAGTAATGCTGATTCTGTACTATGGCGGGGCTTAAAGCCAGATCGAAACTTGTCAGCAATATTTAAACAATCTAGGTGAGACTGCAACTGGGTGAATACGATTTTTTCCAGAATACTGTACATGCAGAAACAAAGTAAGGCACAGAAATGCCTGTTGCCAATCAAAAAAAAAATGGGAAGAAACAAAAAGGAAAAATGTGTTATACTGTATGTAACCCACATACAGTCTTTGATGTGTTGATTGATTTAGCTAACATGGCTCCGTCCCACTTTGTTGAACTTGGTGGGAGCGAAGCAGTTTCTCTTTTTCAGTTTTGCAGAGCATTACTTTTTTTGTCTGCCCAAGGAGAGGTTTTTTTTCCTCAGCAGTGAATGGTAGCTTCTGCCAATAAAACATTTATTTCAAAAGGAGGTCAACTGTAAGTTCTGTATGCCGTTCTTTAATGCATCAAAACAAAATGGGCCTGATGATTAGTTTTTCGGCTATATTCCTGCAGTTTATTTCAACCTTAGATAAAAATACTGTTACTCAAAACTACATTTTGCTCAGGGTCTTGTGAGTAACAGTACACTGCACCACATTGCTGTAAGTGATCCACAGATGAGTTCTATCTACTCTTCCCAACAGCTTGTCACTCTTGAAAGGAAATTCCCAGCTCAAATCACAACATACTTCAAACAACAAATGGTCACAAAGTTCTCAGGGGAAATTGGTGAAATGTGAGTGTGAGCTTTTAAAGGTGTCTTGAGCAATTAGACTATGGATATTTACCGAAGTCTTTAAGTGTGTATTGTTATATTGGCCAAGGTTTTGTTATGGTAACACAACTGTATTCATGCACATTGAACCCAAATTAAATTGTGCCTAGAATACACAACATATATCCCTGTACAGCAGAGAACAGAAACGTCTCTGTGACTTTGTCTGTCTGTTAACATAAAGCAGGTGATTCCCCATGTTATTATATAACAGGGTTTTCCTCCAAGTTGGCGTTTTTCTGTGGAGGTCTATCATTAGTGATGCATTATTTGGAACACACACCGTCATATTTTTTACAGCACCTTCTCACTCCAGTATAATAATAATTCGAATATTATATTGACATTAGATTATTAGATTGCTCATGTGCTAAAGCAAGTTTAGCATACCTACTATTAGCTACACATCTTCTTGATGTATTGTGTAGGCGGCACTCACTGTAATCTATTACTAAACAGTTACATTCTTTTGAAAGATCTTACATTGAGACATTTTATAATGCCAACTGTACATGACAGCACCAAAAATACTTATACAGTCATGGCCAAAAATATTGCCCCCCCCTGCATTTCTCTCAGAAAATTGTTTCAATCATAAATTCTTTGGTATTCTCATGTTTATTTACTTTCTTTGCATTGGAACACACAAAAACACAAAAACTGAAATCAGTCACTTCCTGTGTAACATCACCGAGTTTCTTACGCCGCATTGTCTGAAACCATGTCTGGTGCTTTTTGAAGTCTGCTTTGGCTCATTGTCCTGCTGTAACACCCATGACCTCTGACAGAGACCCAGCTTTCTGACACTGGGCCCTACATCGCACCTCATTTCATTTACTGAAAACAGTAGAATGATGTTCTCGACCAAAAAGCTCTAGTTTAGTCTCATCTGTCCACAAGACATTCTCCCAGAAGGATTGTGGCTTCCTCAGGTAAGTTTTGGCAAATTCCAGTCTGGCTTTTTTAGGTTTATGTGTTGGCAGTGGGGTTTCCCCCGGGGTCTCCTACCATAGCGTCCCTCGTCATTCAGATGGCAATGGATAATGTGAGCTGACTCTGTTGCACCCTGTGCCTGCAGGTCAGCTTGAATTTGGATGTTGATTGAGGTTCTTTATCCACCATTCAAACAATCCTTTGTTGCAGTCTGTCATCTAGTCTTCATCCTTGGTGTATAGATCACTGACTTGCCTTTTACAAATGTCAGGATCCAAAACTCCTCTGGGGGCCTATTGACACACACAGACTCAAATACTTTTGTTTGTGCTCAAGGCAGATTTCTTTACCTATGGAATGTCTTTTCTCCCATTCTACAGGATATGAAAAGACAGAGGACACATCAGAAAAGACATCATTAGCTGATCAAGAAGATGCCCGACTGATATACCTCAACCAGCAGCAGTTCACCAGGTTTTGCAACAACAGAGTCAGGTAAAAAGATGTATTTATGGAAATTAGGAATTAAGAAAATGTTTGTACTTTATGAACTGATTGATAATTTGTAGATTAAAATGGTTTGATTAAACTATGGCATGTGTTCATGGTCAAGGTACTGTTTACTGAAAACTAGTGCATTAACTTTATAACAGTCTCATGATAAATTAGGTGGCACAGTGTGCTTGGTAGCATAACCAACACTGAAATGTTGGTGCAAGCTCTAGCATTGGCAAGAGTCTTGTCCAGGGAACTACAATTCCTTTTTGAGCCTAGCATTACTGCTGCTTAGGTGGTATTTTTATTGAAGCTACTGAATGTGAACCATGTGAAGGTAGTGCAGTACAGCAGAATAATGTTTGTGGGTGGCAGTTGGCTGTCATTTGTCCTCTTGGTCTGCATTTAAGTTGCAGCTTGTGTAGTACAGTTTTCATGGTCCACATTTACAGCTTCATTAGGTAAACCTTGGAGAACTATTCAAGCAATGGTATTTCTAGACCCTAAAGGACTGGACTGTATTTTATATAGCGCTTTCTCACAGTGTGTTACACTGGCCAAAGCGCTTTACAGGAGATTATACACCATTCACCCATTCACACACACATTCACACACCGATGACGAGAGGCTGCCGCACACTGGCGCCAGTCGAACCACCGGGAGCAATTTGGGGTTCAGTGTCTTGCTCAGGGACACTTAGGCATGCGGGGAGACCGGGAGTCGAACCACCAACTTGCTGGTTAGAAGACTTTTGGCATAAAGCGCTACTGTTTTTGACTTTGCCTTTACCCCCACATTAACCTTCAGATTTACAAGCAAAACAAATGAATTAAAGCATGCTTTGACTTTGTAGCTGCTAGTTAAATGTCAGCCTAGGGAGACCTTCCCAACAGGACGCAATCTTGAACTGAATTTTGAGTCTATTTTTAAGTATTTTCTTTGAGAATATGTTGTGAAAATGATCAGCCTGTGTCTGATGTGTTAAGTAAATTGCAGGCAGGTCAAAGACATATAGTTAATTTTTAAAAATAATGTTGAATTTAATGTTCTTAAGTTGACTTTTGAATACATGCCCCATAGTTAAAGCAGTGTACAGTGAGGAAGCCACCACTGTTGTGCAGTAGAGACGGCTGTCCCACAGATATGGTCATGATAGCGCCCTAAGGCATGTGATGAAAGTACCTGCAAGATTTGTATCACCAGTGGTGCATTAGTCCAGATACTCCTGACTGGCCTCTTTATCCTGTTGTTGCTCTTGAAGGAGTTCAGTGGATTTAGCATGTCAGGATTAGGGTCTCGCGATATTAAAACGTGACAAGATTTCTTGTCGAGGCAAAAGCTGTCTTGCAATATCAGTAGATAATAAAAACCAGGCCAGCGTGATAGAGTGCCGCAATACATTCACATTAGTCCTGGAAAAACACAACTCACTGCTATGTTTTAACAAAATGGGCTGCATTGGTCAGGGGGTGAGGGGGTGCAGGGGGATTGTTTCAGGTGTACGGCCACGATGAAACAAGTGGTTTCATTCACGTTTCCAACCTGTGAGTTTCCATTGTATTTTGGTTAGCTATGCTGCTAACGTAGCCTACTCTACTTTAGCACAAATTCTACCACCAGTGTCGTCATTGATAAACTGTGCTTCTTTTTTTTCAGGATTGTTGGGTCAGGCCCTGTTCTCTCAAGGAATGTTACTGTTAGCATCCCTGCCTCTTAAGCAGCTTGAGATATGCATGTGCTTACACAGGCACAGCTATAAACTGAACAGGAATATGAAATTTTAAAAGGCCTTTGAATGCATGTGTTTTTATGATTGTACCAGTTGTTAGCTCAGCTTCATGACCAGTAACAGGCACAAGCAGCTAATAAAAAAATAAAAGAAAATGGGTTCTGATTCCGTTATTTGAGGTGTTTGTGATATTATTCGAGTTTCCCTTTTATCTATCTAGCTTTCCCTTTTATCATCAACAGACCCAGGTCAGAGAGTATTTGCAATCTAGACTTAGCATTTTTATCTTGTTTGGAGTACCAGATGTTTGATGGTTAATTAAGTAATATGACCTTTGATTTGAAAGTGCACCTCTGCCTTAAGGTTTTAACATTATTAAAGCATTGCATTTCTGTGACCTTACCCAGGGGCAGTCATTAATTTTGTCAGTGACCTGCCACCTCTGAAAAAGTAAGGAAATATCCCATTAGTTCCATTTTGCTGAAGCTGATGCCATAACCTGGCAAACACACAAAATAAGGATGATAAAATAAAAAAGATATTTCAAGTTAATCACATTCAGATTCATTGGCTTTGATTTGACTGACTTTCAGTCTGATACTGATATTGCACAAAATAGCAGTTGTAATAACTGGTCATTTGCAAAACTGCCGTGTTAGGGAAATTTGAATGCTTGCACATATAAAAATGACAACAGACAGTGAGCTGGATGCCAGCTTGCATGTTAATGACTTTTCACACAGCATTTGTTTCACTTGTAGCCAAGTTGTCTTTTCAGTGGTTTCAGAGGCAGGGAGTGTTACTGTAGCATTTCAGTAGTGAAGTATGCAGCTTGCAGATGACTTGGCTTTTGTTGAGTTCTTGTTTGTCCTTGTAAATTTGATTTCAGAATGTGTCCAAACATTTGCCTAAGACCTTGAAGGTGAATTTTGGCTGCTGTAAAGATCTAATTTATTCAAGAGGATTGGTTGCTGTGTCAGAGTGACCTGTGGAGACACTAACAGGAGCATGGTCTGTGATAAGTGGTGATTCTGATATTACAAGCACACAAACATCCATCACAGATTTCTTGCTTTCACTCGTTTTCCCTCTGCAGCATCACTACTTGTAAAATATGTCACTGCTCACATAAGACAGATACACACATGTGAGTTCTGCTTTACAACCAACAGGCATAGTGGTTGTATAGTTCTGGTTGTTTAATTCAGCTGTGTCACCGGTGTGTCTGGTTGTAATGTAAAGTTGCTGAGATGTTGACAGCTTATCAGATGGCAGACAGGAAGGGCTGTACAAACCAATTTACTGCTGTGTATCCATGAAATGATGACATAGCATGTCTTGTCTAGAAGACAACAGACATGCATAGACAGACAGACATGGACACAAACACACAAATGGTTCAAATGCACATTCTCTCTACAAAAAAAATTGCATAGTTGTTTGGGTAGAGCGTCTAAATTTGTCTTACTTACAATACCTAACCAAATCAGCTACCCATCTCAACAAGGGGTATTTATACATTGTTCTCTGCTAACTGGGTGTCTTTTTAAATCAAATGACAGCATCTCATCATAAGGCTTACCATAATTAAATACTAAACGGGGCACATGACATACATTAAACTGGTAAAGGCTATATTGTTAAATGAGCTCTTTATCTTGCCCTGCCTCTGTGGAGGAAGTTATACAGTGCATAGGAGTAAGAGAGTGGAACACAGCATGCTTTCTAGTTTTACCCCCATGAGATCAGAAAGAGGGATGAAGTGAAGACAATAAAGTGAGATGGTGAAAGAGGACAGTCTCAAAGACAAGATGGCAAATGTGTCAAAAGAGAGGAATGATAAAGGCTATCCTGAATGAGAGCTTCCAAGTCACTGTTTCTCTGTATCTCAAGGGCCAACTATGGTGTTAACTATGCATTATCACTACCAGGCTTAGGTGTTTAATACCCAGTGGAGTCACCTGTTATAAATGTGAATATACTCATGGTATTGGTATGGGCTGTGGATGATGTATGGCATTGTATTTCACAATAAGCAGTAGGCTGCTCTATCTAAATGCTGACTATACTGAACATAAAATGATCTACTCTTATTAGAATACAGTGGGTACGGAAAGTATTCAGACCCCCTTAAATGTTTCACTCTTTGTTATATTGCAGCCATATGCTAAAATCATTTAAGTTCATTTTTTCCTCATTAATGTACACACAGCACCCCATATTGACAGAAAAACACAGAATTTTGGACATTTTTGCAGATTTATTAAAAAAGAAAAACTGAAATATCACATGGTCATAAGTATTCAGACCCTTTGCTCAGTATTTAGTAGAAGCACCCTTTTGAGCTAATACAGCCATGAGTCTTTTTGGGAATGATGCAACAAGTTTTTCACACCTGCATTTGGGGATCCTCTGCCATTCCTCCTTGCAGATCCTCTCCAGTTCTGTCAGGTTGGATGGTAAATGTTGGTGGACAGCCATTTTCAGGTCTCTCCAGAGATGCTCAATTGGGTTTAAGTCAGGGCGCTGGCTGGGCCATTCAAGAACAGTCACAGAGTTGTTGTGAAGCCACTCCTTCGTTATTTTAGCTGTGTGCTTAGAGTCATTGTCTTGTTGGAAGGTGAACCGTCGGCCCAGTCTGAGGTCCTGAGCACTCTGGAGAAGGTTTTCGTCCAGGATATCCCAGTACTTGGCCGCATTCATCCTTCCCTCGATTGCAACCAGTCGTCCTGTCCCTGCAGCTGAAAAACACCCCCATAGCAGTATGCTGCCACCACCATGCTTCACTGTTGGGACTGTATTGGACAGGTGATGAGCAGTGCCTGGTTTTCTCCACACATACCGCTTAGAATTAAGGCCAAAAAGTTCTATCTTGGTCTCATCAGACCAGAGAATCTTATTTCTCACCATCTTGGAGTCCTTCAGGTGTTTTTTAGCAAACTCCATGCGGGCTTTCATGTGTCTTGCACTGAGGAGAGGCTCCCGTCGGGCCACTCTGCCATAAAGCCCCAACTGGTGGAGGGCTGCAGTGATGGTTGACTTTCTACAACTTTCTCCCATCTCCCGACGGCATCTCTGGAGCTCAGCCACAGTCATCTTTGGGTTCTTCTGTACCTCTCTCACCAAGGCTCTTCTCCCCCGATAGCTCAGTTTGGCCGGACGGCCAGCTCTAGGAAGGGTTCTGGTCGTCCCAAACGTCTTCCATTTAAGGATTATGGAGGCCACTGTGCTCTTAGGAACCTTAAGTGCAGCAGAAATTTTTTTGTAACCTTGGCCAGATCTGTGCCTTGCCACAATTCTGTCTCTGAGCTCTTCAGGCAGTTCCTTTGACCTCATGATTCTCATTTGCTCTGACATGCACTGTGAGCTGTAGGGTCTTATATAGACAGGTGTGTGGCTTTCCTAATCACGTCCAATCAGTATAATCAAACACAGCTGGACTCAAATGAAGGTGTAGAACCATCTCAGGGATGATCAGAAGAAATGGACAGCACCTAAGTTAAATATATGAGTGTCACAGCAAAGGGTCTGAATACTTATGACCATGTGATATTTCAGTTTTTCTTTTTTAATAAATCTGCAAAAATGTCAAAAATTCTGTGTTGTTCTGTCAATATGGGGTGCTGTGTGTACATTAATGAGGAAAAAAATGAACTTAAATGATTTTAGCATATGGCTGCAATATAACAAAGAGTGAAAAATTTAAGGGGGTCTGAATACTTTCCGTACCCACTGTATATAGGGAATAGAAAACCAGAATAGCCAACACGATTTTTACTACAGTTGTTTTGGAAATCACACAAGTAGTTTAAGTAAAGGCATACTGTACATACAGTATGTACTTTGGCTTTCCACTTACATGTGTGTAACCTCACCCAACAAGTTTGTTGGCCTTTCAGTTTATGATTTGAGCTTTGAGCTTCTTGTTGTGATGGTGATAAACAGCGCACACGCACATCCGACCCCATTTCATTAATATCTTGAAACCTATTTAAAGTACAATATTTTTTCTGTAAAACTCTGGATTTCTTAGTAAGTTAGCCAGCCTTATAACGTACCGTTTATCAGAAAATGTTTTCTTTATGCTGTTTATTTTTAAACTCAAACACGTGGCATGTGTGTAAGATGTGTAGAAATAGTGAAATACATAAAAATCTGTTTGCATGTTTTGTTTTTGTGCTTTTCAGCTTAGAATCATTAGATAAAGATCACAGTAAATATCTTGGCTTCCATATCATTCTGCTGTCAGCGCTGATGGTGATCTAAATGTATTTTTTGTAACACGTTCTCAAACTGTCGAGTTTTTACAAGTGACCGAGGAAATGATGCTGTTTTTATTGTTTTCACAAAAGGTGAAATAACTAGATGAGATTAATGACTAGAGTTGGAATGAAACAAAGCGGGTCCATTTTTCACCCTTGTTCTCACAATGCTCTTCAGTAGTCTCCTCTGTGCAGCTGGTATTACACTGTGCTGCTGTATGAACAGTGCTAATGCTTTGCTCTTATTCACTTGCTTTCACTATGTCCCAGACAGTTCCATTGTACCAGGCAGCAAGGATGGCATTTAATGTAGAACTCTTTTTTTTATTAACTCAGTTCAATGCTTGCCCACTTTTCTATAACTTTATGCTTGTGGGTGTGCTACAAGTGATAAATGCTGCAAAAGTGCTTGTCAAATGTGATTCAAACTAACAGGAATAAAACTGTGGTGTCTCTAATGTTAAACTCCATATGCTTAACCCCTTTAGATGAGTTAGAGGCCACGCTTTCTGATATTTGGTCTGTGGATGTGTGATGACTTTTGTGTGTACATGAGTAAGCTAAGCACTACCAGAAGCTTGGCATGCATCATGGCATATATCTTCTCCCAAAATGACTGTTCTGAGTGGCCCTTTAACGCAACTGTAAATCAGACAGGTCTGACTGTTGAGGGCTCACCCCCCCCCCCCCCCCCGCCCCCCCCCCCCCCCAAAACGAGCCAACATTACTGCATCCAGGTAATGAAGCTAAAAACACCCTCTTGAACCTGAACAGCCTCAACACCCATAAAATGAAGGTTGTAAACACTGAAATGCGACCGGAGACTTCTCATTACCATAGCGAATAGAAACCAAAATACAAAACCCATATTTGCACTAAACTGAAAAGCTCCTTTAAGATGGATTGTAGGTGTGTGTCTATTTACTACAGCAGCAAAGAAAGGTAAAGGTCAGCAGAGGATGCTGCTGCAACTTTGCCAACCAGACTGCAGACACAAAGCTGGCCTTTGCCAGAGAGATCAGTCCCATCGCTGAGATTTACAAGGAGAAACCACTGAGAGAGAGAGAGAAAGCGATTTAGTCTGAATCTGGTGGGGGCCCCCCCCCCCCCCCCCCCCCTGTACCAGCTCTCATCCTCCTCCTATTCTGTTCAGTTTGACAGAATCACAAAGTATGCCTGTTTGTGTGTCACTGAGGACCTCCTAGTGTATGTGGGCTAAGGGCAGGGGCAGGAAAATGGTTATTGACAATGTGTTTGTATGGCCAGGGTCAATATATAATGTTCCAGAAGCGATGTCTTTAAATGACTTGTTTTGTCCCAGTAACCATCCACAACAAAAAGATTCCTCTTACTGTCAGAGAAGACAAGAGAAGCAGGAAGTCTTCATATTGAGAGGCTGGAACCCGTATATATTTGGCATTTTTACTTGAAAAAGTAATTCAGTTTTAGTATGGTTTTCACAATTGTTGCAGACAACTCTGCTGTTTATCAACAAATTATTATCTGAAGAATTATTTCAGCTTTTTAGCTCAGTATTAAAGTTGGACAAACTTAATCAGTCTTTTTTTTTGTTTTTTAGATTGTTGTTATAAACTTTACTCACCAGTTTTTAGTAACTTACCATTTTGTTTCTCTCATGTTTTCTCCTCCACCTGTCGCCTTGTTCGCTGCTTGATGCGGTCTTCAGCACAGCCAAGTATAATGTCCTCACCTTCCTCCCCCGGTTCCTCTACTCACAGTTCAGAAGGGCAGCCAACGCCTTCTTTCTCTTCATTGCACTCTTGCAGGTAAGATGTGGTGTTGAAGACAGATTTAAATACAAAGACAACAGATAAATTGTTTTTCTCAGCTGCCTTTTTTTTTTTTGCTTTGCTCCAATTTGTGTGCTAGTGGTCAGTTTTTCAGTTTGTGGTGACCTAGACACCATTTACAAAGATCATGTCTATAATTTCATGTACACACAGGCATATTTAGTCTCTCTCTCTCTCTCTCTCTCTCTCCCTTCCTACAACGCACCAGCGTCCTCTCCCTCTCCCTCTCTCTCTCTCTCTCTCTCTCTCTCTCTCTCTCTCTCTCTCTCTCTCTCTCTCACACACACACACAGATACAGAAACGCACACGGGTGCGTCATATATCCTGATAATAAATAATGCATGTAATACTGCTGTATGTGTACCTCCTTTTAATAGGAGAGCCTGCAGGCTCAATACACTGTACTGTGTATTACATGTTGTGGCAACATGGCATTTTGTGTCTGAGAGTTTCAGTACTGATTATCGGCCCTGGTAATGTTTTGGTTACTGCCCAGCAACGACCACTGTTCTCAGCATTACTGGATCTGTTTTGATTTAGCAGAACAAAGACTTTCTAGTCCCGAGGAAGTTTGCAGCAATTAGCCTGTTATAGGTCAACATTAATCCCTTTTAGGACACTTAAAAGCTTAACTGCTGGTCATTATGACATAATTCAAAGGAACCCAATATTTTTCAGGTGTTCAAATCTTAGCATAAAAAATAAATAGTTGTAAGAAGGAAGGCTGTGGAGGACGCTGTCTGTACCTGTATTCATGTTAGCAGACTACCTCATGTTTATGGGAGCTTCGAGGATTGGAAATGACTCTGTGCCATGACCTTGAAGTTGCTGTTTTGAAAAACAGCCAGTGTGAATCTTCATTACCTTCCATGTTGATGTTGTGTCCTTGAATAAAACATCAATGCAGATGAGGAAGAGAAGAGATCTATTTCATTTATTTTTTTGAGCAGTGTAACAGTGGCTGTCTCCTGTGGCCCTGACTTGGCCTTAAATATACTGGTCTTTGTTAATTTTGAAAGGCCTAAAATAGCCAAATAATTCAACATTTGGTAGTAAGGAGAGCATTATAGTCATAGTAAGACAGTTATATGTGCTAGGAAGAACTCCTTTAAACTTGAAGTTGAATCTGGTGAATGCTGTTTACAAAATGTGAGATGGTGCATGTGATTGATAGGTCTTCAGATGACAGCAGCAACTCCAGCATTTCAGGTGCTGGTCTATGTTTTTGTCTAAAATGTGGGTCTGTCGAATCAAAAGAAGTACCAGTAAAACCTCCTAATGAGCTGACCCATCATAGGTTTTAGTGATAGGACATTTGTTGGTTGTTTGTCTTTATAATGCAGTTGTATTTGGCACAGTGTGTGTGTGTGTGTGTGTGTGAGCCACATGCTTTTTGAGGTATAGTCGTTGACGTTCACACACAATGTTTATATTTTCTAAAAAAAAAAAACCCTTCTTGTGCCTCCAGCAAATTCCAGATGTGTCACCGACTGGTCGCTGGACCACACTGGTGCCGCTGCTCTTCATCCTAGTGGTGGCTGCAGTCAAGGAGGTCATTGAAGATCTGGTAAGACAAACTTGAAATAATATTTGATAGAATGACTAGCAACTACCCTTTTTAGGGCCAAATTACATTCCCTTTAAAACAGCCTTTGAATCCCAGCTGTCATGATGACAACAGAGTGTATGGACACACTTACAGCCAAGCTGGCCCTATGTGGCAAGAAGTGTTGTATGTAAAATATGTAATGTGGCTTCAATGTTTGCAGCAGTTTTGCATTGAATTTTTGTCATTTCCATGTATGCCATTAATGTATTGCATCGCCAAATGCAGGTAACAGTGCCTGTCAAGAGACTGAGTGCATGAAGCACATAAAGGTCAAATCAGATTCACTGAAACATCTACTTTATTAGTGAAAGGACAGTAATTCTCAGCTGAACTAATTGTTGACACACCATCAGACATGGGCATGCGCACACACACACACACACACACTACTTTCAGAGGTCACACCT